TTTATTTAACTCTTATTTAATTTCTCCAAGTATTGTTTTTTAGTTTTCAAAATATAGGTCTTTATATCTTTCCTATGTTTGCTGTTTCTTCAGATAATATTTATTTCAATTTCTTGTTGTTTATTACATTAGCGATACAACTGGCTCATCATTTATTGATTTTTACTTATCTAGGACCACTGAACCCCTAAATAAATTTAGCTATAATATAAAAGCTAAAATCTTTAAGTTATTTATTTTTCTGGTATAAGCTATATAAATGCTTAATCAACTTCCTAGGTACTTAAGATAGACTGCAGAGTATATGACTAGGAAGGCCTAATTATATCATTGTGTGCTCACTTCCCCAATATGATCCCTGAAGACAAACAGGGGCATAAGCAAATGTGGTGGAGAAAGCTGATGGTACCCGGCTATCAAAAGATATAGCGTCTGGGGTCTTCAAGGCTTGAAGGAAAACAAGCGGCCATCTAGCTCAGAAGCAACAAAGTTGACATAAAAGAAGCACATCAGCCTGTGTGATCACGAGGTGTTGAAGGGATCAGGTATCAGGCATCGAAGAACAAAAAAGCCATATCATTGTGAATAAGAGCAAGTGCAGAGTGGGGACCCAAGACTAAGGTGACCAGATTTTAACACTGGTAAAGTGGGACACCATTGATTTAACTCATATCCTGGAGAAATAGCCACAGGGCAGCCGAAAACCGTATACCCTAGCTTGTGCATTCTTTCCAAAAATCGGGACTTTTTCAAAACGCCGTGGGGCACGGGAAAAATTGTTAAAAATCGGGACTGTCCTGTCAAAAGCAGGATGTCTGGTCATCTTACCCAAGACCCATCTGTAGGCAACAGGACATTCCCTTACAAAAAGATACTGGGAGGAGATGAGCCAGTCAGGGTTAAGTGTAGCAACGATGAAACATATAACTTTCCTCTAGTGCCTAAATGCTTCTCTCCACCCCCTCCCCCACCCCACTATCATGATCCCAATACTACCTTACAAATCTTGCTAGACCAGAGGATGTACACTGGTACAGATAAGAACTGGAAACGCAGGGAATCCAGGACAGATGATCCCTTCAGGCCCAGTGTGGAAGGTGGAAGGAAGGTGGGGTGGAAAGGGGGAACCGATTACAAGGATCTACATATAACTTCCTCCCTGGGGGACAGACAACACAAAAGTGGGTAAAGGGGGATGTCAGACAGTATAAGATATGACAAAATAATAATAATTTGTAAGGTTTCATAAGGGAAGGGGAAGCAAGGAGGGAGGGGGTAAAATGAGGAGCTGATAACGAAGGGCTCAAGCAGAAAGCAAATGTTTTGAGAATGACGATGGCAACAAATGTGCAAATGTGCTTGACACAATGGATGTATGTATGGATTATGATAAGAGTTGTACGAGCCCCCAATAAAATGATTTTTTAAAAATTAAGAGACTACTTATTGAAATTCCTCCAGCTTTATTTCAATGACTACATTTAACATCCTACGTAAAGAATAGCAAGCCCTCAGCTAGGTAAGAAAGTAAAATCTAACTATATCGTATTTATAAGACAAATCAACCTTATAATACAAATAATTTGAGAATAAAGAAGGACAAAAGGAAAGAAATAACCATTAGACCGAGGTGCTTGTTGTACCAGCTCCCACTGGACAGTATTTAAGGCACAACTATCTTACAGTTAATTTGAAAGCACACCCAGTAGGTCCGCTATAATGTTCCAACACATTACACAATGATTTCCTTTCAATAGCAAGCACTTTATATTCAGATGTTCAACCTCGATTAGCAACATGAAACTTAAAAGACAAACCCTTAGACACTCAGAGCTTGCAAATGGTTTATATTCGGTATGAGTTGTGGCCAAGGTGGTGATTCTACCGCTGGTAAAATAAAGAGATATCATCTCTCTGTTCTCTGAGCATCTTCAGTTCTTGTCTGTTACTCATTAGCCAAACACTACGTTGAAGTGAGACATTTTACACACACATCTATCTAATCTGTATGAATCCCTGGAGGGCAACATGACACCTACTTATTTGGAGTTTCCATACAATGCTTTACAGGTAGTAGGCCTTTCTTAAGGATTAGTTGACTGAGTATTGATGATTAATTGACTAATTCTACCAACAAAACCTTCCTTCAGCAATACCACTGAAGCAAGGCTACATGCTCCACACATTAGTTTCTATCAGTTCTGACTTGAGTGACCCTGTGCCCAACAGAATGAAATACTAATCAGGCCTGCTCCATCCTCACAACTGCTACATGTGAGGTTGTGGATGCAGCCACTGAGTCAGTATACCTCATTGAGGGTCTCCCTCTTTTTCAATGGACTTCCATTTTACCAAACAGGGTGCCTTTTCCCAGAGAATAATCCCTGCTCATATTATGCAAATGCTCTCCATTCTCCTATCTACGGAGCACTCCAGCTGTACTTTTTGAAAGATGTGCTTGTTCATTCTTGTGTTAGGCCGATATAATCAATATTATTTGCCAACATCAAAATTCAAATACAGCAATTCTCCCATCTACCTTTATTATCTACCTCATGTATGTAGGGCAATTAAAAATAAAATAAAAATTCAAAATGGCATCTTTATTCTTTAACTCTTTGAAGAAGTCGTTTTCAGCAGATTTGCCCAATGTATGAATGTCATTTGATTTCTTGATTACCGTTTCCATGGATGTTGACTGTGGATTCAAGTAAAATAAAATCTTTGACAAATTTAATCTTTTCTACTGATGTTGCTAATTGGTCCAATTGTGAGGGTTTTTGTTTTCTTAATATTAAGATGTAATCCATACTAAAGGTTACAAACTTTGCTCTTCATCAGAGCCTCAAATCCTCTTCACTCTCAGTAATCAAGGTTGTGCCACCTGCATATCACAGGTTATTAATGAGTCTTCTAATCCTGATGCTCTGTTCTTCAAATAGTCCAGCTTCTAACTATGATGAAAGGATATCATCCTAACACTCACCATTCCTGATGTTAAATGGCTCGGTATCTTTTATTTTCTGTTCGAACCATGGTCTGTTTAAAGGTTCTGCATGAGCACAATTAAGTGCATTGGAATTCTTCATAATGCTATCCATAATTTGTTATGATCCACACATTACAATGACTTTCAAAATCAATATAAAACAAGGAAACATATTTGTTATTCTCTGCTTTCAACCAAGATCAGCAATGCTATCCCTCATTCCATGTCCTCTTTTGAATCCAGCTTAAGTTTCCGGCAGCTCCCTGTTGAGGTACTGCTGCAGTCATCCTTGAAGTAATCTTCAGCAAAATTTTTGCTTGAATGTGATACTGATATTACCAGCTATTTTGCATAATCTGTTGGGTCCCCTTTCTTTGGAATGGGTGCAAATACGGATCTCTTCCGGGCGGTTAACAGCCAGGTCATCCAGATGTCTTGCCATAGATGAGTGAGCACCTCTAGCAATGATATCAGTTTAGGTAAAAGTTATTAGATACGACGAGTCTTTCCTCACCTGACTGCCATGGAGTCCGTTCTGACTAAGAACTCCAAGCTTATAATTTATAGCAAAAATAAGAAGGCTCTGAAAGAGTTTTACTCAAGTTTCTGTTCCAGGAAAGAGAAAAACAGCAAAGCTTTAGCCTATGCCTCACAGACTCTTCCCGTGTGCTCCAGACCCTTCCGGGTTCATCGGTCACTTCCGAGGCCATTTACAAAGGTTCACCTGGCTCCAAATGTTTGGCAATGTTAACTTCCAGTGATTCTCAAAATTTGCATCACAAAGATCTTAAGGCCTTTTTGAACAAAATTCCTGGGCTGTGCCCCCAGAATTTCTTATTCTGTGGGTTGTGGTGAAGTGGTTCAGTGGTAGAATTCTCATCTTCCATGGTGGAGATCGCTGTTTGATTACCAGGCAGTGCACCTCATGTGCAGCCAATACTGGTCTGTCCAGTAGAGGTCTGTGTATTCCAATCATGGTGAACTGTTTTCAGCTGGGCTCCCAGAATAAGACTTAGGAACTAAAGCCAATTATGGACTTCTCAGAATCAGTCAGTGGGGTGTCTATAGATTATAATTGTCTGATCCACTAGCAATCTTTGGGCTGGAGCTGTACCTGGAGCCCTTTTACTTTGCTGTGCATGGGGATGAGGTATTGTGGCTCTACTTGATAGCAGTTTTTAAAAAAGGTGTGGGGCCCAGCCATTTCAAAAAGGTTTTCAGGTGATGATGTTTGCTGCTGGTCCAGGTACCACACCTTGAGAAGGACCATGACCCTCAAATCCTCACCTGTTTCTTTCACGTTTATTATACCTGATTAATTCATTCAAGTAATTTTAAAGGTTGATTATTCCTTAGATCAAGCTTGGTTGCTTCATATGTAGTAAAAGTAGAACACACTATTTTCACTTGGGCCCATTCAGCATGATATCCAAAGTTTATGGACAACCAAAGGGTGATGAATTCTCCCTACTTCAAATGCCACAGTACCATTTGGACCATGCAACCATCTCTATAAGAAAGCACCATAAGCCGACATTATCACAACCAAAGATATAAACATTTACTTACTATGTTCTCTCCTTATCACCTCCTTCTCTCCCTCCCATCTTAGCTTAGGGTGAACTTGTGCAAGAAAGCCATTCCTTGATCATGGAAAACCTCTTATAATGGTGTGTACTGTACACAGAATCCTTTCTTATTTAGTCCTTGTCACAGCTGTATTTTTTACATTTGATTATGAGTATTTTACTAAAAGCTATTTTCTAACACTGAGCTATAAGGTCCAAACAGGCAGAGTATGTTTTGTTTTGTTTTGATCACCATTAGCTCTGTGGTGCCTGGCACAATCACACACATAAAACAAGATCTGAGTGTTTTCAGCCCTAAGAGATAAGGGAAAGTATTCCTTTCCATACGCTGCCAAAAGTATGGGGTAATGAAACGAAACAATGGTCGCTAACCTGATAGCTACTCAATATTCACAAGAAAAATAAGGAATAAAATACCTTACCTTTTCTGAATAATTCTTGGAGACTCTCGGCACTTTGATTTAAGACAGCCCATATTTCTTCTTCCTGCAATGGTCCCCCCCGAACCTCCAGGGCCTCAGCTAGTGACACATGCATATTACCTAGGAAACAAAGAGAACAGATGATCCACACATCAGCAACTTAATTCCACCTGCGCTCACAGCAGGAAAAGTTCCAACTTGTTATAAGACACTATGAGCCCCCACCTCCATCCCCTCCCTGTCTACTGAATGAGTTAATTTGACCTTAAATTTATTTAATAGAGAGTAAGGAATTGGGAGGGAAAAGTCCACAAAACAACTATTTGTCCTAGGCCATCTGGGACAACTGAGAGACAGAACTGGAGAAACGTGTGGTTATCAGGAGGCCAGAACTTCCACATATATATGTTTAAACCAAAGCAATCTGACTGAACTGAAGAAAGCCTTTCTGATTGCAGTTCTAGGTTTCATCTTAACCCTATAGCAAGCACTAAAACCCACACAGACTCACTGCCATCAAGCCAATTCTGACTCATGGCAACCCTACAGGACAGGATAGGACTGTGCGTTTCCAAGACTGCAACTCTTTTTTTTTTTTTCTAATCATTTTATTAGGAGCTCATACACCTCTTATCACAATCCATACATACATCAATTGTGCAAAGCGCATTTGTACATTCATTGCCCTCATCATTCTCAAAACATTT